GCTGGACTGAACCCATGTGGCTGATGTGTAGATCAATGTTTGGGTCCCACGCCATACAAGGAAGCCCAACTGGGCAGTAGTTTGGAAGGCTAAGTGAACACATAACTTATTGGGTTTAAAGCTCATTTCGAACTGGGCTGATTTGATCAGTTAAATAAAAGGGCGAATTCTGATATTGGATTAGCATATAGGATTGAGTCTTAATCCTATCCACTCAGAGAGTCCAGATCTAAATATGATTTAAATCTGGAAACCTCCTAAAGAGATTGGGAGAAGGCTAATCTAATCTACAGATAAGGTAAGGTTTTACCCTTATCACTTAAAGGGAATTCTGATCCAAACATATTTGGATCAGTAGCTCCTAATGGGATTAGAAGCTGATCCCTTTAAGGTTATAAAAGGAGGAGAGGGCGGCAACCTTTAGACACAACAAGATGTCCATACGATGGATATCTCATCCCTTCAGAAGTTTAATGATATCATTGTAAATAATTAGCAGTGGCACCTTTGTAAATAATTACATGTTTAGTATCAAATACGAAAGAGGAAAAGGAAAATGACAAGTTATGATTTTTTTTTGTTTTATTCAATGGCATCATTGCAATTAATTAATTTTGTAATGGTAATGGTTAAAAGCATAAAAAGGGAGATATTATAAGATTATAGGATTTCATTTAGGTTATATAAAAAAAAAAGATTCCATTTGACAAATGAAGAGCAATATGGGAATACAACATTTTTCTTTTAGGTTATATATATAAATGCCAAATATAAAAATATAAAATTTTGTAGAAAAAAAAAACACTCTAACACTAGATATTTATCATGTTAAACAAAAAAAAGTAATCATACGTTGAATAAGAGTATATTTATTTATTATAGAAATGACAATTTTTAAAATTAACCAAGATATGATATTTATTATAGAAATGACTATGTTAGATTGGTGGTACCACTTAGATCAAATGGGTCAATCAATTCATCACGTCAAAAAAATGGGCATGTCTCAAATATCATATCTATCGTAATAAATAAAACTTGTTTTATGAATGATGAAAATTAGATACAAAATTTAAAATTGAGTAGAAACAAAACCACCTTTCTATTGGGGTGGTGAATAATTTGGTTTGAACATCTAACTATCTAAGCCCAATGAACCAACCCATGTAATTAAGTAATAAAAATTTTAAAATATACAAAATATAAAATTTATAAAAAAATTGTCTTGAATATATATCCATTCTCTCGTATTATATATTCATTATATTAAACACAATGTGTAATAGTAATAATAACAATGACAACAATTGTTATTATAATTTAAAATTTCTACATACATCTGAATTGTCCATTTAGTAGTTAATAAAATAACATCAAAGTGATTGGCAATCTATTTTATTAATATTATATATCATTATGGTCAATATTTTCATCTGATATGTAAATATATCTAGGGATGACAATTTTCCCCATCCAATCAAGTACCTGATCGACCAGGGATGGAGATTGCTTTGATGAGCGAAGCTGGAGATAAAGATTAATAGGAATCTCCAATTGAGATCGGAATTGGAGATAGTGAATGAAATCTCAGCCTCCCAATCTTAACCCTGAATATATATATATATTGATATTATTTATCTTCGATTTATTATAAAATCAAGGGTGAGGAAAGGGAAATATGAACCCGCGCACCGTTTGCACACCTGCATGTATCCGGTTTGAATCAGATCCATGCGCAACCCTATGGATTAAAACAATTTTTTACAATTGGATCCGGATTTTCATTTTCTTGTTTTTCCCTTGAGGAATTGGCGTATTTATTCGGTAAGATTTTGGGCTGCACCATGAATTTTCGGCTACCGTCCAACACGGTGGACCAGCGGAGGACTATATTTGACGGATGTCAAAGATGTATAAATAATAGATAAATATATAAATATAAAATAAATAAAAAAATCTTAATTCTTATGTGCATGGTAGACCCGCGGAGGACTATACAAGATCAACAGTTGATTACAGTTATGTTGTATAGAGCATCATACTGTCGAGAATCCGTTTTTTAATCCAGCGTTACTACAAAACGCGTAATTTTCTTTCCCGAATATCCTTTTATTTTTTATTTTTTTATTTTTTTAATTCTCTTTTCCTCAACGCAAATAGACGTATAAATAATGAGCCACTCCTGGTCATTGCTTTGTTCCTCTTCTCTCCACACGAATCAGACATAGAGAGAAACACAGAGAGATAGAGGTAGCGAGGGTTTTCCATCGGCCGCTTAAGGTACATAAGCTTTGCATCGTTCTTTCTTTCTTTCTTCGTTTTGTTTTTTTTTCCCCTAATTTTTGTTGTTTTGTTATTAGTCTTTATCTCTTATTTCATGTCTATGTTGACAGTTTTTCAACCAACATCCATCGGTTCTAACATATAGGGTTTGGATTTTAGTGTTCATGTTTGCCTTGAATGTTTAACAGTAAAGGATAGTTATAATTCTGGTTGATTTGTTTTATAACTGCTTCTTCTTTCTCATTAATGTGTTGTTCGTTCCACCATCGACAGATCTGTCTGTGTTTCTCCTATTAGGCATATTTTCATCATGGATCTGTAGCAATCCAAAATTATCCTTATAGCTAACTTATTTATTTTATGAATGAAACGGAAATGAAAACTGGAATTAGTCCGAAAGCCTGTGTTATACAACTACAGTATGTGCTCAAGTTCTCTGCTGAAAAAATAATTATCGATGACAAATATTTAGAAGGAAAACGATTTCCGGGGCAAAAATCAGCGAATGAACTAGCAGTTGCTTTCTTGGGTAATAATTTACATTACCTAGCCACTTCACAATGGAGAAATTTCAAAGACAACTTCAAAGTAAACCATTTCTATTCGAAGATATTTAGCTTCTAAGTGGAATGCGGATTCTGTTTGTTTTGATTGACATTTTTCAATTAGACAGTACCATGTCAGAGTAAAATCAATCCATCACTAGCATGTTTTTATTTGTGGTTCACTTGCTAGTCCAGCAGCCTATCAAAAAGTGTCTCATACTTTCCAAGTGACGCTTGGGTTAACAAAGCAGCATAAGTTAGTTTAGCTAGTTAGCGTCCTATCCGTTTATCATTTAAATATGGCTGTTATGTGTTTGAGGAGGCAATTAAGTAATATATAAATAGTTAAATACTATGTTGCATGCGGAAAACAAAGTTGTATTCAAAAAATGCATAGTGGTTAGAAAGGTTTTGTCCAGGTATATGTTTTGTTCCCCTCTTCTCCAATAATCCATTATATAAAGGTGCTGTGGCACCCAGATATGGATATCTACACGGTCATGCATATACTGGAAATGGGTGTCCAACTCTCCATGTCCTAAAATCGCATGCTGATATTGGTAGGGGTATCCCATGTAATAATGTTAATATCATATTTCTATGTGTAGCTTTTGAAGCTAAGTCTCAATGTCTCATTCCTCAAGACTTTTTTGCCTTGTTAAATTTTATTAAGTTCTTGTGTCGAGAACCCCCAAGAAGAAAAACAACCTTTGCAGGCTGGAGACAGGAATGAGAATTTTTTGGCAAAGGAAGGGGGTGATGTGGTATTCTGGAAGGGGGAAAACTCAAGAAGATGGAAAATCAGGGGAGAGGAGGGTGGAAACCGAGAAGTTAGTGGAGATACAGGTGGAAGTGGGCCAATCTCTCAGTTTGTTCTTTTGGGGAGGGGAGAGTGTGGTCAGAAGTGCAATAGAACAGTTGAAAAAAACAGAAGAAAAGAAGAATTAAGAAAGAAAATAGTGGGGGAGGGAGGTGACATTTGGGATGAAGGGGAGGGAAAGGAAGACGGTTGGGTTGAAGAAGAGTGAAGGGTTTTGGAAGTTTAAGTAGTTTAGTGGAGGGGGAGGAAGGATCAGAGTGGCTATCTTGGTTGTGAAGGTCCTTGGAGTTGGTAGATGTTGGGGGTGGCTGTGGGCAATTTCATTGCTGTTGGTTTCTTTTTTTTTTTTCTTCTGCCAATGGTCTCAGTGCTGAGAGAAGCTTTTAGTATTTTTGCTTGGGAGGTGGTGTATTTCAATTCGTAATCTGGAAATTTTGATGCTCCAATTCTGTTGTAGTCTCGGTGGTTTAGGTTCTACCTTGTCACCTATCCAGATTGAAATTTTATCTTCCTTTTAATGATTTTTAACTCAAAAAAAAAACATACACAGTTTTTTTTGGTGGTATGATTTGTCAGAAAATGCTATTTTGTACATTTTTTGAGGGTTAATGACATTCAGCATATCTAGAAGTGTCTAGCAGTATCCGATGTCATAGTTGGTACAATTCATGTCTGATATTGGTATTCTCAGAATGTACAGGAATGAATTGGAATTCCTTTTACTTTCATCCTTGTTTTTTTAACTTTAGAGGGTTAAAAAAATGTATATGTTAACTTACTGTTATATACTAGATAATGGGACCCAAATATTAGAATTTCTGGTTAGCAAGGTGCCAACCAGCTGGTTGTAGCGGAGACTTGGTATCAAATCCCACCTGCATCTGGGTTGGGAGGTTATGGGTTGGGAGATGGGCTACCCCCGCTGTGCATAGTTTAAGTTGGACCCCTCAATTCAGAAGAAACATGTTTGACCGGGAGTTGAGTGAGGTGTTGGAGTTGCTGGAACTTTTGCATGGACAGGGTATTGATGTCAATTGGGAGAGTGAATGGAATTGGAAGTGGAGTGGAGACAGCTTTTTCTTGGTCAAATCCCTGGCTTCCAAACTCAGCTGCTCAGGCTTTTCTGATTTCCCTAGCAAGCAGATTCGGAATCCAATCCCTCTGAGTCTAACTTCCCTTGTTTGGACTATGGTTTTAAATAAATGACTTTCTAGAATCAGCTTGGAAAGGAGAGGTGTGCGGCTTTCGGATTTATCTTGTGGTCTTTGTGGACTCATGCCTGAATATACAGATCACCTCAGTATCCATTTTCCTGTTTCTTCCAAGGTGTGGGAGCACTTCCTCAATGCTGTTGCGGTCTGCTGGGTCATGCCAAGTTCTGTCAAAGACCTACTGTGCTGTTGGAAGATCATAGGCTTGAAGAAAAAAGCAAAGCTGGTTTGGAAAACCATTCCTGCAGCTGTCCTTTGGTCAATTTGGTCTGAATGAAACAATATAATTTTTTGTAACAAAATGAAACGTCCAGATGAATTAGTGCAGTGTGCGGTTAGTAAATTGGTTTCTTGGGTGTCTGTAAATCCTGAGTTTAAGCACCTCAATGTGCCTGAGTTGTTTAGGTCCCAGTCCCTATGGAGTCTGTAATCTGAGTTGATTCCTGGCTAATCTTCCCGTGGCAAGGAATCTGTTGTATCTTGTTCTCCTCTTATTAATAATTTTTTAACATACCTTTCAGAAAAAATAGTCTTCACCTATTCATTATTTGAAGGATGAGGTTTGAGCTGAAAATTGTTCTTTTCTAAAGCTAGAAAAAAATTTAGCTCCACTGTCTATTGTGCAATTGAAAATCAGACATAAAAATTAGATTTTTCTAGTCAATAGAAACCAAAGCTTCCAGGGTCCATTGGAAATTGATCTACATTGTTAAAGGAGAAATTCAATCTCTGTTTAGCTAAATTATGCTTCACAGATGCACTATCTGAAGGATGTGTTTGAGACTTCGAGTTTACAATCATTCTGTTGTGATGGTAAAATTTTTACCTCATACATTCACTTATGAAGATAAGTTTTGATCCCCCAAAGGGAATATTGCTAGTGATATTCACATATTAAAATCCAGAAGTGATTTTTTTAATAGGAAGATAACTTTTATTAATAAAGATTAAGACAAAACACAGGTCCATTCCCCAAAAGAATGGAGACTAATCCCCCATAAATTCAATTTACAATTCTCCCCTATTTGTCCCTTGTTTGGTTAGTGGACCAGCCAAACCATTTGCTAATCTTCTCACCCATCTAACAGACGCATCTAACTCCCTTAATAAACTTCCAATCTCCCTCAATGCTTGCCTATGGGTCCAAATTCCAAAGCTACCTGATTATAACCACCCTATCACCAGTTCTGGTTCCTCCTCTGCTTCAATTTATTGATAGCCCAACTGTTTCACCAATCTCAGCCCTTGGAGGAGAGTTAGAACTTGAGCTCTTAGGGAGTCGCATTCTATTGGCCCTGAATACAAAGGCATCACTTTCCTTAGTCCATCTCTTATTACTCCAACAATGTCAGATAGACCTGGGTTACCAAAAGTTCTCCCATTAAAGTTCAGCTTCAGTCTTTGACTTATCGATGGAACCCAAACCTCCTGACTAACAGCCCTTGAGCTTGAACTTGAAGAAGTTGCCACTGCATTCCAGCTCCTGACGATATCATCCACGGAAACATCCTTAAACGGATCTATAGTTTTTGCCCAATGTGCAACCCAGAATGAAATGTTTTCAGTTAATTCATCCTTTGTCTTCACCTTATCTTGAAATATACGATTATTTATTTCTTCTCAAATTGCCCAAACTATTGCCGCCCTTGTAGCTTGCCATAAAGTTTTGCCCTTTTTCTTTGGTTGTCTAAGAAAGTTATCTGCAAAGAGGTGATCCTCTCTGACAACTATGGTTACAATTATGTCTGCAAGATCAATATATATCTCATAGAATATTGTCAGTGACCATAGTTGTATCTCTGTGAGGGAATCCTCTCTTTCCCTCCTGTTTTTCTTATTATAGTGAAGTGTATTTTCCATCTTTCAAAAAGAAAATTGTGAATGTAGTTTATACATGTGTATGTTCAGGTTCTGAGATGTCTCTAAATTATTAGATGTTGTAAAATCCTTCTTGATATGTTTATAGTTGAGCCATCAAGCTTCTTAGCCTTCAGTTTTTTTTTCTTCGAAATTCCAGTGTTCTCTATAGCTAGTGGCTGGTTGGATTTCACTGCCACAACATGATCCTTCTATAGTTGATGCTTGAAGGCCTTTCTCTAGGAAAAAATTCAAGACGTGATTATATAGCTTACCATTCTGATGGTGAATTATGCTCTCTGTCTACTTCAGCAAGATACAATGATATTTGCCTTTTTCCCTCCATTTTATTATCCTTTTGTTGAATATATTTCATGCCTATTGTCATATTTCTTGTTCTTTTCCATGAACTGTTTAATCTTGTTAAATTATTTTCACCTTGCTTGTAGTTGTACTCTATCTTATGTATAATGGAATAAAGCCTGGGGTATTATGTGTACGATGGGAGAATTCCCATGTTCTCAACCTGTATTGTTTGCATGTTCCAGAACTTGAGGGTTTAGAAACCCACTACTTGTTGCCCCAGGGAGGAAATCTTCTATCAAGCATCAAACAAATTTAGTTTTTTTCCTTGTTTACAATTCACTTCCACCGGAAGTCTGGAGTCATCTTTGTGGGACTTGATTTCTTATGGGTTGATGCTGAAATAGAGCATTTATAATTGGGTTGAAAATGAAGGCCTAATTATTTCACAATTGCAGCTCGTATCCCTGTGTTTTTGGTGGACTTCACAAAATGTCAAGCACAAACACAGAGGATGTCAAGGAACAAGAACACGAAGAGAAGATGCAGGTTGATGGAGACTTCTCTGAGGAGGACCCAGAGCATGCTGAAAAGAATGTGGAAAATCCTATGCCGTCACCCCAGCAAGAGGTAATTTTTTAAATCTGTCCAGCAAGAGGTGATATTGCAATTTGGGGTAATTGGGTTTATCACAATTTGCATTGTGAAGACATATTCATTTCTGTTCATCTAAAAATGGTATCAACAAGTGATAGTTGTATATTGTATGTTACAGGTTAGTAAACGTGATTTGCATGCATTGATAGTATAACACCCCATTTCAAGTATAGGGGAATTTTAACTGTTGTCATCTCCAAATGCACCTTTCTGTAGGAGGAAATAATCAAGAAAAAATATGGAGGATTGCTACCAAAGAAGCCTCCACTGATATCGAAGGTAGCTACCCCGTTTATTTGTTTTCACAGCTTATAGATGCTAATTATTTCCGGTTCTAAAGAGTTGAACTGAAATTCAATCATTTTTTGCTGCTAGGATCATGAACGTGCTTTCTTTGATTCTGCTGATTGGGCCTTGGGAAAGGTGTTTATCTTGATTTTCGATTAAGCTCCATTCTCCTATTTGTACCAACCATTAAGATGGCATGTCAAGGTAAGATGCCTAACGCATTTGTCTGTTGCCTTTTGGATGTTCAACAGCAAGGGGCAAAGCCCAAAGGACCACTTGAGGCACTTCGGCCAAAATTGCAGGTACTTTTCAAGCTTTATGCATCATGTCTGTTCCTTCCCTTAATGAAGTATTATGCATTATGCATTCATTTTATTAGATTGTATTTTTATTAGGGTGGAAGCAAAAATGCAGAGTGGAAAAAGAAATCCATCTTTCTGCTACTTTCACAATACACTGTTCAGCTACAACATTACACTCCTAAAGGCAGCCTTTTTTTTGTTTGGGGGGGGGGGGTAGTTACTCAAAACCTGCCTATTCTCTTGAGTATAGAATGAACTTTAGTTTCTACTCCCGTGAATACAGAAAACTATGATACCCAGATATCTGCAGCTACCTCACATTGCTGGTATTGTATCTGATTCGTGTTTGGATAGGATACAGGATACGGCATGGATACTTATAGGTGTACTCTATAGCATTGCCACTTAAAAAGGTGATATATCTTAACAAATCATACTCTTAAAATATCTGCACATATTGGAAATTTAATTAGATTTGGCAAGACACAAGTCTTGAGACATGACATTTAGCGTCAAAAAATAGATATAAATACATGTCCAGGATTTTAGGAGATGGGAGTCTTATCTCCCTTTCCAATATGTCTGTATCCATATCTAGGCATCATGAACAAAACAGCTTTACAAGATACATAATCTATTCTATGCATAAGACTACTTGTTACTATAGCTGCATCTTTTTTTGAAATTAATGGCAAAGCCTTGTTACTACAGCTGCATCCCCTTGTAGAAGTGGGACAATGAACTTAGAAATTGCCCATTTGTCTTTGCATATAACACAACCACAGAATAAAAACTTAATTTGATTTCAGCCGCAAGTTCCTGTTCTTGAAGACAATTATGTCATTGCAATACATTTGTCTATGATTGTACTCTGAAATACTCGCATCTACTTTCCTTGGTCTTAGAAATAACTCAAACCATCAAGTTCTAATTTGTCTTTCTTATCCATTTGTCTTGCACCTGTTAGCCCACACCACACCAGCAAGTACGCTCTAGAAGATCCGCTTATGCTCCTACAGAGGACAGCGAAGGTATGTGCACGTATGAATCATTTTCTTGAAAGCTGTCCTTTTGTTTCCCACCTTTTTATTTCTTTAGAACGATTACAATGTATATTTCACAGATGGAGGCAATAATAACACTAATTCTGAAGATCAGAGCATCCATGAGTAATTGCTGGGGGACTGAGATGTCCATTTCCATCCACATAACGAGCATTTAAAGTTGCTAATGAGTCCTTTTCATGCATCCAAATAAGTAACATGTACTGGGTTCTGTATTTGATGTTGTACCAAGAAATAGAATTGGGCTCTACCTGATATGAGACTCCAATCTACTAGCGTTAGCATTTAGTTCTCTCTCCCCCCCCCTTTTCCTCCCGGCGGGAAAATTAAGAATGTAGCTGTTGTTATTTTGTTATGGCCTTGTGGGAGACTGATTAATCTTGTTGTGCCACTCTTTATCTTCTAGGAATTAGGATTACCGTATCCTAACCATCCAGATACAGATGTTCATTACTTAAATGCTTATATAAATTTGGTCCTAGTGAACTATTCAGTGCTACAAATGTTTATTGAGGATGACTGATGAGGTAATTTTTCTTGGAAAAAGTTTCGCTCCTTGAAAGGACGCAAGTGATCAGAATTTTATTAACTTTTCACATTCAACTTGATCACTTAAGCGGAAAGGCGAAAAAATAAAGGCCTTTTTACAGTCTACTCTACCTCGTAATTCAATTTATTAATTCCCGAAATGTATTCCCATCCCCCCTTACGCTGGCCCGAACTGTACTTTGTATAATGGAACTGAGTCAAGAGAATTATATAATTTAGATAACTGGATGGACTGGTTGTAAGGGTGTCAATGGACCGGTTTTGGATTGGGTCCTGTCTGGTCCAAAATTAATTTGGATGGATTCCATAGACCAACAAGATATATTGGATTGCACCAATCTGGTCTAAAATATTAAATAGATTGAATTGGACCTTGTCTATCCATAATAAATTTATATTGGATTGGGTTGGAATAAGCCAATATTTGGCATGTGTCAATGGACCGGGTTTGGGTTGAAACCAATCTAAATCAAAACAAATTTGAATAGATTGGATGGTCCAAACATTGAATTGGACCAGATGATCAGTCTAAAATGGTCCAAAATATTCATTGGATTAGATTGAACCTGGTCCATTTATAATGGACTCACAATGGACTGGATTAGACCAAATCTAGTCCAATTGACACCCCTAGCTGGTTGGATTGGTGGGATTGTGACTCAAGGTTTTGCCTGATTTGTTCACCCCCAAGAACTAAAATTTCTAAAAATCAGCTAATCATCTTGTTTAACCAAAAAAATGATGAACCGATATACAATCACCTGGATCATTAAGTAGTTGAAATTCGAAAATGAGTGAAAAAAAACTTAAATCCATGACCTTTTATTTTTCATATATTACTTAGTTACCACTAATCCATCTCTTTACATATGGTATTTGTATTGTATACATTATTTTATTACACCTATTTTAAAATAATAGATTAAGAGACTTTGAACCTTTATCGTATGTTTTAAAAATTAAAAAAAAATTGTTATCCATCCACCATACTTAAATACCTTAAAAGCTGTAAAAAATATTATGTATAGTATTTATATAACCAATAATATATATGCATACATGTACGCCACATCATCATAGATCAACCCTAATCTCTTCCCTAATTTTATAATTAGTCGGGTTCTCTAAACATTGATGAATTCTGAGGTGGATAGAAATAAAATTACCCCAAAAATAACAAACCGGTACCTCTTCCTCTTGCATGCTTTGTTCAAAGAGCAAAAGTTCAAATGGCCCCCTAATCCGTTAAACATGCACCAGGTTGCAAGTTGGCCTTGCTGCATTCAACAGTCCATGTATTCGTCTTTTTCTTTTATTTTTTTTCGAGGGGATCATCAGTGCCCCCCCCCATATACACATCTCAGTGTGCCCCTCATATACACATCTCAGTGTGCATTGGAAGAACATCTCCCGAAATTGCCAGATGTTTAAATTTTAAAATACACGATTGGCACAGATGTGAATTAGGGGTGTATTTTGAGAAATATTTTTATATTTTTAAAGTATATAAACACAAAAAAATATTATTTTTATGTTTGTTTGATGTGCTTTTTAATTTAAAAAAATATGAAATAAAATATTAAAAAAACGAAAATCACATCTTTTAATATTTCAGGTTATTTAGCGTGCATGATTAACTGCCACATAAGACGTGCAAATTGGCGTGTTAGAAATGTTTCAATGGGGCTGGTCACATTGTTTGGGTTAGAGTGATGCCGGGTTCGGTTGTGCTACGGGTTGGTGACAGATCTGTCAACGGGATCCAAAAAAGCAACTGGTCATGCCTAATAACATACAAACCAATTAGCAATAGGACGCGCAAATGGGTCGTCTAGCTTGTAACTCAGGTATAGAATACACGCTATAATCCAATTCAACAAATAATCAACCCAAGGTTCAAAATATCGATTCGTGCGAATAGATACAGTTTTTCAGACCTTTTTTTTTCCATTTTTTTTCGCAACTGGTTCAGGGGGGCCGGTTTAGGTCTCCTCTACCCCTGAATCGGTCAGACCTTCAATACACCCACTGTAGGGGCGTATCGGAGGGGTCCCAGAACGATTTGAACCTTGAATCAACTACACGGCTGAATAACATCCAAACGGTCAAAATCAAAGACATCTTTCGATAAAACAATCGATTCAAGGCATCCAATCAAGCTGGTTTCTCATCAAATGTATGCAAGGTTTAAGCTTGTAAATAAATTCATGAAGGATTTTCCACCAAATTGTCTGAAATAAACATAGCAATAACATAGTAAAATAGAATAAAGGATATAACATCTAAGTTTTGATCTAACAAAACAAAATGCGAATTTGCAACAAGACATTAGCACATGCAGCCATTAGCAATTTATGATAGAATTTTTACAAAATTTAACATACGTGCCAAAATGTGTAGTTTTCAGAACGAACAATACAGTCTAGAATTATAAGAACAAGAAGAGGTCGCCCTCAAGACTATGCTCAAATGCAGAACTCGGATCCATATGCATGGCCAATCCCAGCTTTAGGCCCTTCAATTTCTACTCCATGGTTCCATGTGGAATCATTGTGATTCCCTCCAATGCTGTTGTTGGTTCCTCATTTTGCCATCTCAAGACAAATTGATTCCATATATTATATAAAATGCAAATGAATCAAAGAAGAGGGAAATAGAAAAGATAATAGAAGAATTCAACTGACCTTGCTTCAATTTCACTCACCTTATGATGACAAGAAGAATGTGGACACTCAAGGACTTCAAGACCATTGAGCTTTTAGTGAAACGAGCCAGTATAGAGGGTTTCGCCCTCATGACGAAACCCTCAAGAGAATCTACAGCTCATTCCTTCTATTGATGCTATAGAAATCATACAAGCAAGAGGAAAAAAAAAAGATGGAAAGACAGGACCAAAGATGCCAAAAACATCGATAACAGAAACAGACCACTCAAAATAAACCTCTGGTTTGTTTTACAAGATGTCAAACCCTGCTTTAAAAACACTCCAAGCAAAACAGCCAAAACATAGACAATTCAGTGATCGTGGTGCAAGTAGTTGCAGTTGTGTAAATATCAATGTACAGATGCTAGCAGCCAAGACACTGAAATTCAACCTGACCTTAAGATACTCGCTTTAAGTAAAATATCAAAAAAGTCCATTCATTTATATAAAAAAAAGTAAAATATCAAAAATGCGGATCAGCTTAGGGAGAAATAATATTAAATATGCATTGAAAAAATTAATAACTGATATGATAAAAGGGTAAAATTAAAAAAAAATCTAAATTAATAAATGTTGTCATTCGCAGGTCTCAACCACAAAAATAGTTGCCTACATACCATATCCACAAAACACCTGACCTTGCATACTAAGCCATCAATTCCTAGAACCTCCAGATTAACTGCATAGAAGCTAAATCGCCTGTGATCATAGCTGTAGGGATGCAAGTTGGATTGCAAATTGAAGATTTTTAACCACAGTGGTCTTGGGTTCAGGCTTGAGCCCATTCAAAGTTTAACAAATACTCGACCCGAACAAAACTGAATTATACCTCTACATAGCCCAAAGGTAGCATGAACATGCAAGACATTATCTAGAGAATTAGCATATTTGTTACGACATTGTTTGGTACGATTGCTGTTTTCAGCTGAAACCATTTTGTTTGATCAATACAAAATGCATACCTTAAAAATGCACGTGGGACGCTGTTTGTAGAAGTTTAAAATTGAATTCTTGCTCCAAGACATTTTAGGTGCAAAGAGCAATTGTATCAATATCAAACAAACATCTAAATGAATGCAAATTTATCAGTGCTGAATCTGAGAACCAGCTCCCATATATCTGTAACCATGATGTTCATGCATCAGCAAAATCTATAACCTACCTTTCAGGAGATCCATACTCTTGAATCACTGTCATTTTGCCATCAGACTATATACCCTCCAAAATATTAAACTGGTCATGAACAGACATGCAAAGAGAAACCTTTCTTTTAACCAGTTAGTTACTTTACAAGTTCCTTGTGCGATTAATTCCATCCAACGTTCATGACTAACAATTAAATATATTATAGAAAAAGGAATTTAAAACAAACAAAAAAGCAGTCTCAGCAATAGTTTTAAGAATGTTTAATGTAGAGAGCTGCAAACAAGGTGTAGTTGTGTATGTGTATACAGCTTAATGATTAAACATTTATGGAAAAGAAGATCAGTGCAAAACACAAGGGGTTAAGTGTTTTGAGATGCAAAACATAATGACAAATTTAAGAGGAAAAATACCAAGCAATACATTACACTACATATTACTTTTCAATGCCCACATCTCATCAAAACAAATTAAGTTCCACCACAACTTTGTCTAACTTTCCTAGGGTTCCCCAGGTTCTACAACAGTACCACCTAAGCTCACTGTTTCCTAGAAATTCAGACATAACCAACCCATACAGATGAGATCTAATATTATTAAAGCCAAGATACTGGTACAAGTACCAAATAAAAGTTTCACGGATACCAAGTACACGAAGTTTTACAGAAGTGAATAAGTTACTGCAACTAATAAAAGCATTCTGGCTACTGCGGCCCTTGGCTCAAACAATATAATAGCTTAGTAAGATGTGGTATCAAGGCTGCAAAAGGACTGAATGGTAATCTCCAGAAAATGTTGGTCCTCCTAAACAAAGCTTCATAGGTGGGCCATAAGTTTCTCAAACCCTTTTCATCTGGTCTTCAGGTCTAGGCTGGAGGCTTCATCAAAAGAGGCAGTAGGCTGGCTTCAGGCTTCGTAGATCTCAGCTGTTTTAATGGGAAGGGAAGGCAACAAAGGTAAAACAGGAGTATTAGAATTCTAAATATAGGAGGTCTGGGTTGGTTAAGATAGCAAATTTCCATATAGTATAATGTGACTAGCATACATCAAAGCAGCTTGCTATGTTATAGAAAGGATAAAAGCGTTAAGGAAAAAGACAATTATCTACCTGCAGGCCCTACTCATGAGGAACTAATAACCATGATGTTTCACATGGGAAACAGGATTCTGACCAGATAACCTGGTAACAGAAGCTAAAATCAGGGTCAAGATGTAGAACAATCTCATCTATAATCAAGCATGACATTGGAGGTTTATTACCAAAACTTAGAAGTTGCACCCCTACAAACAAGATAACATTGTCGATAAAGATAAAAGGTACCAAGAAATAGATCCCTTCAATGCTATGAAGCCAAAACATAAAAAGCATCAACTGCCAAGAATGAAGGTAAATAGCATATTCTTACCCTGTACTACCAGACCGGGCAGAAGAATAGCTACCATATGCTCCATAACCACTTCCACTCTGCAGAAGATAGACATAATTCATAAAAAATAAAATAAAAAAGGTTGAGAAAGTTAATCAACAAATCCCATGTTAGTTGATCACTTGATCTACACTAAGGACAAATACAACCAAAAAATCAAGAAAAAACATTGAGTCACTACACTGATAATTGTAATAATTTCAACTCAACTCAGCCTTAATCCCAACTACTTTGGGTCAGGTACACAACTCCTGTCCCATCATCATGCTCTATCAAGACTCAAACCTACAAAGGGAATTGCGGTGATCTTAAGAGTTGCAGTGAAATACTGCTTTGGGTTCTAAGCTAGAAATCGATCCATTATTACTTTCACAAGAAGAAAGAATTCAGATTCAAAAAAGAGTGCCTTTAATGTCACAGAACAGCATATGGATTATAAATATTACCTGTGAGCCACCATAACCACCATAACTGTCACTAGGGGCCATATCACTTGAACCATATCCAAGAGAATAAGAGGAGTATCCTCGTCCATGTGATTTACCATCCCTACTGCCATATTTTGAACCATCTGGAACATCGGCTGACATGGGAAGGTAAGGAAAAGCTGGTGGAAATGCAGTCAAAGCACCTTCTCTCTCAAAAAAGTTGGCTTTTAACCGTGTGGTTACATGCATGAGAGCATTCCTTGCAATGTCAAGCTCCCCAGTGATCTGAAAAGCATCGTTTATGACATAATCTCAACAAAATGCAAGTTCTTATCACCAATACACTGAAAATGAGAAGGAAAATAGAATGCATTGGAGTAAAAGAATGTGATTACCTGAACCATTTCATCATCTTCAGATGCAACTTTTGGAAGGTTTTCCTTTGAAAGTATGCGTATATTTGCTCTAGTGAGTTTTCTCATCTCAGTAATGATAGCTCCACCTTTACCAATAAGGCATCCAATACGTGAGTTTGGCACAAGTAGCCGAGTTGTGATTGGAGAATCACCCGATTCTTTATCAGCTTTCTCACTACATTTGGGCTGCAAGCGCACTGCTGCATCAATTGTTGGAGAAAATGGATCTTCAAAGTACTGCATAATCAGCCATTACAAATTAACCATCAGCACCAGTCCATGTGAAATTCAAACTTTGCCGACATAAATCTTAAAGACCAAAAAAACGCTCACCTCCTTTGCTGAGATGGATATTATGCAATCATCTCCTTCAGCAGCAGAACTATCAACTTTGATAGTGGCCCCAGAGTCCTGCCTGATTTGCTTGATGATTGATCCACCTTTCCCAATAACTCCTCCAATATTTCCAGTTGGACAAATCAAACGGAGAGAAAACTCCTTTGCAGAGGTTTCATCCCTTCGACCAGGATATAAGGAGCGTGCCCAATCACTTCCTGAGTCACCTTTATATCCACCATAGGCACCAACCAATGGAGCTAAGCCAACAATTTGGGGACCTGCATTTGAACCAGCAAACGGACCACCTGACTGATACATGTTTGACATGGCAGAAATCAGCAGGTGTTGAGAGCGAGAGGGATTGTCATGAAGCCGAGATGATATTTGATGAAGAGCCTTCCTTACAACAGCAGCTTCCCCAGATATCTAGCACCAAAAGTTAACAGGATTTTCTTTTAACAAATAACAAGGCAAGAGATAAGAACAATTTCAGAATGTAGGCATCACATGAAAGTATACATATGCAACTAATAGAGAGATTACAAAATATATTACCTGGAGAAGTTCATCAGTGCTCAAGGCACAAGGAGGGAGATGCTCATTCTTTAGAATGCGAATCTGAGCACCAGTTTCAGTGCGTATATTTTGAATTATCTGACCACCCTTCCCAATGACGCATCCAATCTGGTCTGATGGTACAAGCAGCCGAACAGTAACTTGCTGAGGCTCTTCAACATCTCCATCAGCAGGAACCTCGTCTGCAACAAGTCTGTCATGCACCCTAAAGAGAGCATCTTGTGCAGGGCAAACAAAGTCTCCAGTATCTTCGAGTGCATTAGTTTCTTGGCTTGAACTAAAGATTGTGACAACACGTTCCTCACATCCAGGCATAGTCTCACCAATCCTAATCTTTGATTGACTTTCTGCCCTTAGTTGCTTAACAATCTCACCTCCCCTCCCAATGATACTTCCAATCTTTTTCCCTGGACATAAATATCGGTAGACAGTATCATCGGGTCCAGGGGCATATTGATCCTTATCATCACCAGGGTTGCGCCTCTTACTTCCACCATTATCAGAATAATCAGATTGAGAATGGGAACGCTTCCCATGGCTATTCCTTTGACCAGCCATTATGGAAAATTTTACTCAATATATTCTTGCAGACCAACTTTCTGCCACATAAAAATGCAATAGATAAGATCATAAGAATTAGCCAGTACAAAACATCAAAATCATTTTTTTCTTTTTGCAACATAAGTTTAAGATATGCTAATAGAGATTGAGAACCATCACTGCAGGATCAAGGTCATCTTCTGAACTGTACAGTTCTAATCAACATACAATGAAATCAATGCAGGGGATGGCAAACCGGCAGGAATACCTTGTATGCTCATCCAGCACATATCTCGTGGAAAGCATTGGCTTAGTAATAAGGTTGTTGACAAGCGTCCTTTTACAATAATATGGAGAGCACAACACAGAAAATGCAAAATAAATTACCCCATTGCAATCGTTCGTAAAATTCATTACGGCACCTCAACAGACATAGTTTTCCGATACTACAAACTCTAATAGAAGAGTGTTTACACGCTAGACAAAATTAGTTAATGGATACAATAAAGATCACGGGAGGAAAAGATCCTTTTTTCCGGAAAATATACAGAACAAAAATACATGTATACAAACAAAAAAAAAAAACAAGATACAAAGAAGGTGTCAATGCGGCACCAGAACTGGAAGACCATCACAGATTTCTGATGTCTCGAAACGAACTCCAAAGAAAAAAAAGGAAAATAAAATTTGCGTAACTACTAACAAGAATCAAAATGCATATATCAAGGCTCTTCCAAAGCCAATAGAGTTTTCTCAACACTACAAAAATCATGACCTAACGAAAGTTAAGATCTGAAAATGTTTGAAATTAATACCACCGCAGCAAAACAAGAAAAGAACTACGGCACAGGCACATCTATCAGTACAAGGTCGCATATCGCTAAGATCTAACGAAGCAATAACATCTACGACGCGAAACCCTAAACGAAATATACGAAATTCACATTGAAACGGAGAAGCAATAATCAAATAACACGAAAAATTAATAAGTGATATATTTTGAAAAATAAAATCTCACGCCATAACTGTTTATACCTCGAAGATTTTAAACAGAATCGTCGAAAATCAGGACCTCGCGAGCGAAGATACAAGGAGTAGGAGGGAAGAAAAAAGAGAGGGAAGAGGAGAGGAGAAAAGAGGGAAAAAGATCTGCCCTCGTATCGTAATTCGTAAATAAATACGGCCTCCACGTCTCTGATTGTAAACTAATAAAATATCTTTGGAGAAATACTACTAAGCAACGAGTTTACAGAAGAACTCTTCAATACTTGCCCTGCAGACAAGGTAGGAGCCATGCATAATACATTATGATGTGTTTTATTCGTGGGCCCCACTATGTCGGTCTATTTGCACTTACGTGATATGATTCTAGGGTTTTGAATATATCCCGAGTATAGCAAAATTACTGAAAACTCATTACATTGATTGAAAGTACTACCTACCTGCCTCATTGGCACGATTTTGGGAGACCGGATCTTATTCACAGATCGCACCTCACAGACGAGTCCGGCTTGGGTCAGGGCAAACCCCGTTCCAACATACTTTACAGCCTTAGGTTGGGAATATCTCCGTAATTACGTGATTTATTTTATGGGAGATATTTTTAATGCAAGGTTGTAAGGGTTGCTTGAAAAGTGCGAGCACCAACTCGCACTGGCCGAAGTCAAACTCTTCATAGGTATATTCCACCAACATTTCCTGTATTTATGTGGGAACGAGATCTGCTCCTCACACATAGGCACCTCATAGATACATCCATCTTGCATTGGGAACATCTCCCGTGAATAATAACTTATAAGTATGGGAGATGTTCTCAATGCATGGTAGGATCTAGGATGTGCATATGAGGCACCCTGTGTGAGGAGTAGATCCCATTATGTATTGGGAATATCTTTCAGTGATAATATAAAAAATGATGATGTCATTACCGGGAGATGTTCCCAATACATGGAGGGGATGTGTTGGGGGTTGATTTGAACTCCCCAATACACGGGTTAGATGTGTTTGTGAGGTCGGTGTGAGGTGTGTTATATGAGGAATAGATCCCAATTTCGATTTGGAGTACAAGGAACTTTGATATAAAATTCGATTTGCTCCTCACGAAACATGTCTCACACTAACCTTTAGTACGTTTCAGTCGTACATATGAAACTTTATAATTGTAAATTTTTATTCACGGCGAGATGTTCTCAATACACGGCTAAAAACGTGTTGTGAGATCTATCTTAGTGTGGCGCGCTTTGTGAGGAGCAGAGCCATTATAGCTACACATCGAGAAATATCGCTTCATTGTGAGGAATTCGGCTTAAATCAAGGCAATGCCTATTCAAGCGAATTGGGATCTACTCCTCACACAGGGCGCCTCACAATGACCTCACAAGCACATCACATTGTGAATTGGGAATATCTCCATAAATAACAACACATAAGTGTGGAAGATGTTCCCAATACACTATGGGATGTACTTGTGAGGTCGGTGTGAGGCGCCCTTTGTGAGGAGGAGATCTGGTCTCCATTTAAGCAGCCTCTACTACCTTGCATTGAGAATATCTCCGTATTTATGTGCTTTATTTCATGAGGAGATATTCCCAATGTAAGGTTGGAAAAGGATATTAGAATGGTGTGGGCATAGGTTTGCCCTAATAGAACCCGACCTCCATTGTGAGATATTCGCGATGTAAGGGTTAAGGTGCAAATGGATCAATCTTGATTTGATCATGGTTGAGTTTTGATCGCCCTTGTTTGGATATTTGGATTGGATCGGATCAAGTCAAATAATATGATCTGATCAGAAATCGGATTGGATTCGAATTCCCCCCCCCCCACCCCATCTAATAAGTGAAGATTTGATCCGATATATATTATATATTTATAAATATAAATATATATAATACATACATATATGTTATTTGTTTATTTATAAATAGATTTTTTATATTAGATTTTTATAAATTTGTTATATTATTTGTTTTTTATATTATATTTTTATAATTTGTTATTAACAATTAGAGTATTTATTAATTAATAATAATTAAATAATTATAGTATTTTATTAATTAACACTATTAACTATACTTTTAATTAATACAATATTTTTAATAATTTTACTATTATTAATTAAATAAAGTATTTATTAAAATACTAAATTTATAAATTAACAACATTTTTAATTAATATAATACTTTTAATAATTATAGTATTTTAATTAATTAACATTATTTATTAAAAACAATGTATTTTTATTAATAGTATTTTTAATAATTACATTACTAATAATTAAGCATATTTTACAGTATTTTCAATAATTGTAGTACTATTAATTACAATGTTTATTAATTAATAGTGTTTATTAAAGTATTGTATTTGTTAAAAACATTAATATTTTATTAATTCCTTAATTAATAGTTTTTTAAATTGTTAATTAATGTAAGTCATAATTTAAATGTATTTTAAATAACATTTGAACCTATAAGTAATATAATTAAATTTTAAACTACAATTAAAAATATAGTTTAAGCTATAAATAGCAGAAAATTACATTTAATGAACAGAAATTAGCTACGAAAATAACCAAAAATAAAGTACCAATAATTTTGCCATAATCACCAAAAATTATCCAAGAAATTACCAAAAATGGATTAACATGATTTATAATAAATATGATAAATTATCAAAAATAAAAAATATAACCATTAAAATTACTTTTTTGAAAATATGTACTAATTATCAATAATCATCAAGAAATAAATGTAATTAGTTCATAGTGTATTTAAAATACATTTGTTTTTTGTATAAATTATAAATTATATAATTTAGGGATTTTTGGATTGCAATCCCCCACATAAATCTTTTTTGCAACCCCCCTCCCCCAATAAACCACTTTATGCCCGTGAAATTGGCATCAATCCACGGGTAGGATTCAGTTCACCCCTAGGAAATCCTTGCTCCACCTAGGGGTGGACTGAATCATAAAAACCCCTATAATTTAAACATTATAATCCTTGCCTATGATGATATTGTTTCATAGTGTTACAATGGAAAACAAAAAAATGTGTTTACTATTATGTATTTCCATTATTTTACTTTCACTCAACAAAGCCCGTGGATTGCACAGGTCTCCGCTAGTATCTATCTATCTATCTATCTATTTTTGCATTGGGTGTATACGGAGAAGTACGGATACACCCAATGCAGAAATCTGATTCCCATTGCACAACTATAATCATTCAAAACAACCAAAAATCACACCCTATGCACCCATACCCGCCCATGAATTGGCATCAATTCCGAGCTGGCACCTACCCTAAATGTACTTTGAACCTACAAATTTTGACATTGGGGGTATCGATCATTCTCCCTATATATATATACACGGAGAAGTACAGATACACCCAATGCAGAAATCTAATTCCCACTGCACAACTATAATCATTCAAAACAACCAAAAACCACACCCTATGCACCCATACCCGCTCGTGAATTGGCACCAATTCCGAGCTGACACCTACCCCAAATGTACTTTGAACCTACAAATTCTGACATTGGGGGTATCGGTCATTCTCCCTATATATATATATATCAAGAGGGTCCAGGACAAAATGCCTCTCCTTGCTCCATTACCTCCACCTGACATTCTCTTTGACTCTCTCCTCCCCCCTTCTCACCACTCCCATTAAGCAATGTCACAATTCCCAACCCAACTATCTAAATATTCATAGAATCAATCTCACAAGATATCTCATCTAAGCCATTAGGAACATATCATGTTACCTTACTCCCCAATCAATTCCTAAAATCTCTTTACCCAATCTATATCCACACACTATCTCTCATTTGAAATATTCATATTAATTAATACATAGTTAAATATAGTTAATATCTAATCCAACCCATATTCAATGAGTATTAAATAGTGTTATTATCAAAAGTTAATAAATATGGTTAATAAATTACCAACAATTAATAAATATTGTTATTAATTAACTCATCATAACTTTCTAAAGTATTTTGAGTAAATATTGTCATATTCATGTTAATTAACAACATTTTATAGAAATTGAAAACACTTTAAGTAATTTTTATAAATTTGATAATTATATTTACAAATGATCAAAAAGTATGAAATTTTAGTTATTGCTATTATTATAGTTAATAATCGAATGCAGATGGGGGAATAAAATATTATAACATTGGAAAATGAAATGATTAATTAATTTATATTGGAAAACAAATGATAAATTAGTGTAATTTTGTTAGTAAACTACTTAATAAAAATAAATATTTAATAACAATTTTAAATAATTTTCAACAAATCTCTACTATTACGTAAATGGAATAAAATTTTTAAAAAATTTAATAAAATTACATTTCCATAAAATAACATATTGGAAATTAAAAGATATAATATTGTACTTTTGGAAAATTTTTGAAAGTTTATTTAAAATGTATTAAATGATCATTGAAAATTATTGGAATATTTTGGAATTTTTAGGAAAATTTATTACATTTGATTGGTTTCGGAAAACTATTGAAAAATCATGTAATTTTCATTGTAAATTATTAAAAGTAAATGAGCATGGAAAAAGGAAAACTATAATTTGAACCAATAATTACACAAATTATTAAGATAAATTAGTGTAATATTGAAAAAAGGAAATTATTAATTAGTTTATATTATAAATTATAAGATAAATTAGTGTAATTATGTAAGTAATCTAGTTAAAAAGAAAATAAATGATTTAATAACAATTTAAAAATAAATTTGAGTAAATTTTCAAAATTACACATGTAATAAAATTTCCAATTTTTTCATAAAATTACATTTTTAAAAATAAAAGACAATTTATGTACTTTTATAAATTTACCACGTGGCTAATACTTAGATATCTTTTTGATCATTTTCGACATCAAATTGAATATTGGTTGACGGAGAGTGGGTGCCTTGCCTTGAACCCATCCGACATTGGGGACAGAGCTGAGAAAATTTGAAGACTCCCCAACTTTGATGAAGAGTGGGTGCCTTGCCTTGAATTCACCCAACATTGAGGACAAGGTGGAGAAATTCGAGGATTTCCTGTCCCTATCGGGGAGTGGGTGCCTTGCCCTAAACGGCTGAACCCACATGACACTAGGGACAAGGTAGGGATGGTGTAGGGTGTCTTGACTATGGGGCAGGGACAGGGATGGGGTGCCCCGCCCCG